ACTTCAGCTGCTTCAGCAGATGTGGCAGCAGAACAGCTCTGCCATCTCACGAAACCCCCAAGGACAGCCAAGCTGACGACAGCAGGTGGAAACCACTTGGCCAGAATCCATCCTGTGCTTCTGACGTCATCTGTGACTTGAAAAGTGAGGACTGTGACGAAGATGCAGAAGCTGGCACTGCTCCAGCTCAAGATCTGCTGGTGGAAATAAGTGACAGCTCCAGGACTCCTGATCTAGAACTGAAGAGGGACTCTCAGAGCTCCTCTGACTTTGAAATTCCCTTAACTCCAGATGCTGAAATACCTCAACAAGATAAACTGCACTACTTATATAAGAAGCTAGCAGCAGGTGAAAGCTTAATGAGAAAAAAGTCTCCTGAAAAGAGGTAGAACTGATTATATCATGATAATAATGAAATTTGTTCTTTAAATATGAAACTGTTCTTTCTTTTATTGCTGTTATTTGCATTTATGCTAATCTATGCAATTTTTGTACTACAATTACAAATAGACTTCTGCAGTCTGTATAACTTTATTGTTCTTTCCATGAAATATTGAAACTTTCTGAAAAGGACTATAAAAGCATTCTACCTCCTAAGGTTTGGTTCTCCAAGGCTGTAACTAGATAGAAAATAGACCAAACAAAGCTGGAGGTGGAACACTAAATTGAATTTAGTGTTTTCTTTTATCAGGAGCTCTAAGAGTTTGCCTTCTACACGTGATCTCAAGCTTTAATACAATACCACATGTTTAACTATGGGGGAAGAATATGGCATCTTCCCTAATGGCCATGCAAACACTGAAATGAGCTGCACTTCAACTTCCTGAAACCCCAACTTATCGCTGTGGTTATTGTAAAGAACAGATGAGCCAATGACAGCACTGTTCCTGTAAAATCAAACTCATCTCTCTTTAAACTGAGCAGATAACGTATGTCAGTGCCTGTGGTTTACATCTTACACACAACCACCAACTTGTTAGTTCCTTTGTTTTGGTTTGGCATTGCAGCTTTGGGTTTTTGTTGAGCTTCAATCCTTTTAGGAAAAAAGACCCAAACAACAGAAGTAACCTCTGAGTTTCCCAATCCACGAGGCTTAAAGCCTAAATAATTAAAAAGACTTTCAGTGTGACAGCTCCCCACACTGCATACATTTGTTTTTCTGGTATCTGGAGTGCAATGCAAATGTTAAAAAAAGCAGCATCCTGCTACTGCAGTTGCAGAGAAAAAAACGGCTATAATCTATGTATGATTTGAACTGTATTCAAATCCATGTGTTTTTTCCACTGTCACTTTGCCTACTTTCTGTTCCTGGGATTTGTGTAAAGTCCAGATCTGTCAACTTTTTTTTAAGCAGGCTAAAATGAGTCACACTGCTGTCGTTTCTACCTTTGAATAGAGTCACAGAGAGCAGAATTGTGTCTGTTGGCTTGATTCCTTAACTGTAGGATAAATTTCAGATCAGGGCTGAGTTTACAGTGTGCTTCAGTAGATGGGAGCCCCACTTAATTATAGCAGTTCCAATCTGCCATGAACTGAATAGGAAACACTTGATTTCCTCACGATTGCTCAACTACAGTCCTCTCAGTGCTAAAACATTCGTGTATGGGACAGCAACAAACTGCACTCTAACAGCTGACAGCGTAAGATGTTTTCTTCCCCAAAAATGACAACAGCAAGAAAAAAAACTAAATTTAATTTATTTTGTCAAAAACTGTAGGAAGATAGCAATACTAGAGATCACACATCATGAGAAGAAAATGTTCCTGAGCTTACAAACTGCATATGCTAAAGTACACAGTCCTAAGACATACATTAGAAATAACCCAAAGATTGACTTAACTTTGAGATTAAATAAATAGACAATCTTACAGATAATCTTGCAGCATTATTCTGCTACCTCAGAAAATAAACCCAACAAAAACAATAAGCCAGATGACAGAGCACAGGTTACCTGACTCTTAAGAAGTACACATACACCACTGAAGTGGTGGCCGTGAAGATGCCAACAGACCACAAAGCGAAACAAAGGCAGAAGCTAGGCTGGTTTAGGCTCCTTAAGAAATGGAAAACACCTTTCTTCTTCTTTTCCAATCTGGCAATTTCCCCCCTGAACTCATAGAAACAGCAGAAGGAGTTTTAAAAGTGATGCAGTATTCCGTTAAGCTCAGTTACCAACTGCAAATGCACTGAATATGTAGACATAAACACTGTTCAGTATTCTAAATTAGAAACCGGATATGTGATTTTACTTCAAATAAATACAAAATACTGTTACCTCCCAGAACATAAATTAAAGGTCCTTTATTTCACACACAAGAGGTAACATACATATCCTTATAGAACAACAGTGTTTGTCACTTCAATGCTGGTGATAACAGATACTGCCTTGGGAAAAAGGCAGACACGGAACTCAAGTACAACTGGTAAGACTTTTCTCTTTGAACGTGTATTTATTGGTGATTTTTAAATCAAAGAGGGTGGTAAACCATTCTGTCAACTTGCACAGCAGAGGCCAGAGAAACCAATGTGGTAAGGAATCTGTCTTGCTGCAGAACTCTTGCACTCCTGTGCCGAGGAAAGGCTGCAGACTGCAGCAGATTCAGGAGCTGGAGGTCGCAGATTCCATCCGTGTGGAATGCGTTTCTAAACTGGGCTACATGCAAGAGAAAGCAAACAACTCCAAACGGCAGCAGATAATCTAGAGTTTGTTAAAGCTCCAACATTCCACATCAATAAATTAAAAACTGCTGGAGAAGTGGCATTTTATAAATTGATTAGATTGAGCATTTATCCAAGTGTGTGGATACAGCTGAGGCTGTTAATGTCAAATACTTTTAAACATAAGCAAGTTTCCTCCTGCTCATGTAAAACAGTAATTTCACACATATCTCTTTGTGTTGTAGATTACAAAACTCAGACAGGACTTGCAGTGGCCCACGCTCTTCGCTCCAACCGTGAAACTGATTTCAGTGTCTCCCAGCATAAAAAAAATGACACTTCCTGCCAAAGAGCCAGATGTTCAGTGCCAATGCAACAGTGCTTCTTAGTCAGCAGACAACCTGTGTTATCCTCTGAAACACTCTTCTTGGAGTGCTGGGAACTAGCGTGAAGTTTAAGGCATTTGCTAACAAATTAAGGAAACTGATACATGCTGGGTACTTGACTTCATTCACCTGAGACAACAGCTGTGCACCTTATAAAGGCAACTAGCTGACCTATGATACATAGCTAGCATCCATTTAGGGAGCAACAACATTCTGCCTGACTGTCAACATTTTGTAAGCAAGTATTTGTAAGCAACATGCAAGTTTTACAAGCTTTTTTATCCATGAGAATAAAGCCCTTCAAATATCCCCAGAGCATGGACCTTGGCTGTAACTCCACTCATAACCAAACTCAAGTGCTCTTCAGTGTCTTTGAAGCCAAGCAAAACGTAGCACATATTACCAACAGATCAAAACAACTTTAAGGTAATAATAATAAAATGATTCAAGCAGCTGAAGAACAGTATTCTTCTCAGCCTTTACATTCAAGAACATGTTACAAATGACTACAGCAAATGGGTAGCTCAACCCTAGCCTAACTTCACTGAAGTTAATATTTTTTGCAACACGAGAAAAATAGGGCTAATATCTTAAAAATCTGTCACTAGATTTAAAAAAAAAAAAAAAGTCACAGTATGTAAAAACTTAAGCAAAAACAACTGTTAGTACAAATCAATTCCCAGGCTATTTCTACACCTAACAGATAACTAAGTATATCTGCAGAATGCATCAGTGTTGATGGGCAATAGGCTGCTTTCCTTAAATTACTTTGTTTTCTATTCCCAAACTGTAGCCAGTATTTTTTTTTTCAGCAACGACTGCCAAATTTCTGCAATGAAAACAAAACAGTGTGTGTTACCAATAATAACCCAATATTTACAAATACTGTGCAGAAAAGAAGACCTCCTACAGAATCTGAACTAAAAGTCAGAACGTAACGATTTAAGTGTATGGGAACTGCTGAGTCACGGCCTGAACCTCTGATTGATCACCTGAGGTGAGCCTTGAGTCAGCCAGAGGAGCACAGCTGAAGGCAATTCACCTGTGCTGCCGGAAGGGGTGGAGCCAGGCTCCACCCCTCCTGGACCTATTTAAGAGCTGGCTACCAGAGAGGAAGGATCTCTTCTGGAGATCCCCTCTTTTGGTATCTTCTGGTGAGCTCAACCCAAGGGTAAGCTCTTCTACTTATTCTCTTTTGTGATCCTTGTTTGCTTTTGCCTTACTCTTTTGATTATATTGCAATTACAACATCTTGGTTATGCATTTAAGAATGCTATTCATAAAGCTTCTAAACAACATGACATCAGGTGAAGATGTTTAAGACCCCCAGACTCAACTAACACCGACGATTTTATTGTGTGGAATTCAATGGAGCTTTTCCAGTTTGCACCCCTCTGAGCTGCCTTCCAGTCGTGGTCGGATGCCTCTCATCGTGGTGCCACAGATGTTATTGCTACTCTCTCTTTTTTACTCTCTCAGCCCTTCTTTTACACACTGGCACAAAAAAAAAAAAAAAAAAAAAAACTGTCTGCTATGATTTAGGACTCAAATTGAATGCCTTCTAATACCTTCTTTGCAAGGTACAGAAAATATGCAACGCCACTTTATCTCACTGAAATCAGCTCCTAGAAGGCCTACCGCTGTGAGCTTACACTTAATATTCAAATCAAGGTACATGTTAAAGAGTTTTCTTACCATATAGTTTACTGCTTCCTAAATAACGATGATAGAAAAATTAAATTTTAATCCACATTATCAGTTTCAACCTGAAACACTAGATCTCTTTCTTTGGCCAATGCCATTTCAATTACAAACATAACATCTTGTTTTCGTTGTATCTGTTTACATAAGCTGTAAGAATAATGTATGTATGAAAGAAGAGTCTCCTTAAAACTCTTTTAGAAGAGAACAAAGTATTTGTGACTTTGGGTACTCAAACTCAGTTGAGATAACCTCTGCAACACACAGCTCCACATTTACAGACTGTTCTGATCCTCTTTCTGGATGGGCTCAGACCATCAGCAGAGTCTGAAGTCAGATCTATAGAACCTGTGACACAGACAAACACAAATAAGGACATTTTAATGGGAAGACTGAAATTGAGCTAGGAATTCAAGACAGAGAAATGGCTTCAAGAAGCCTTCTACCACCCCAGCTCTTAAAAAAATTGTGTGTGAAGCTATGCTGAATTCTACCAACACCCACATTACAACTGCTTATCCAACACTTGTCACACATGTCAGGATCCAAAGTTCAATGAACTCAGGCCCTTTAGGCTCAAGCCTATCAGCATATGCTGGTCAGCTGAGACTGCAGTCTGCCTTGAACATCACTGTCACAGGCACCACAAAAAGAAAAGGGGAGTTTTAAAAGAGATTTCAATAAAAGAACTTGGTCAGTATTGAAAGAGAGCTTCTGCAAGAATGTGGTACAGCTCTGGAGCATAAAAATACTTCTTTGGAAATTAAATAGCTGGGAAAACAATACGTTGTGGCTTAGTGGTTTGCAAGCATGCAAACTTGACACACAGAACACCACTGCCAACCAGATTCAAATGTTTTATACTGCACTGGGAAAAAAAAGGAAAAAAAAGGAATTACTGAATGGAAAATCAGTTATCAAAGAAGCTGGTAATATTTCACCAAGAATATTTCTTCCTGAAGTCTCTGCATAACAATCCCTGTACACACCTATGGTACCTTACATCACTCACTGTTACAACTGCCTTCATAACTGTCAGTTAGAAGCAGCTGCTTCTCAGGAGATTCTTTAAAAAGTGGTTTACCTGAAATGCCAGCTTCAACAAGGGGAAGCTTTTCTAAACATCTCCAAATACGTTTTTTGTCTTGACCGTTATTTTGAGCAGCCCTGTGACAAATCTTTAAAGCAAGCTACCTTGTCAGAGGTTCCAACCACAACCCCTTGCTCTGAACCAGGAGTGCTGAAGGAAGTAATGCACTAGAGGTGCACACAAAGCTTCTGGTTGTGCGCTGTCTGCGCTGTCAGTGAGGGACATCTGTTCTAGTGAGATGCAATGCCTGACCTAAAACATTGACATTAGTCAGACTGCAACAAAATTAGCCAGTGCCCCCTACTTCCCTCAAGAGCAACGTAAAACCTGCAGACCTTTCATCTGGTAGTCAAAGGTCAGCTCTTCTCCAGCCTTGATGGTTCTTGTGGAAAACAGTGCTATTCGAGGAAGACGCAGGTCAAGGTTATCGATAAATACATTGAAGACTTGAAGATTGGGATCACACTGTGAAGCAAAAATTAATGTAGTTTCTGTTAAAAAAATGCACAGTAAGTTTCACTGAAGTATTCAGCAGAAGGAGAAATGGTTCTTAGTGACAGAAGTCTAAAAATCTAGTCATCTATCTTCTGAAATCAACAGTTCTGAAGTAGCATTAAAGCAGAACATTCAGAGCTTAAAGCAGAGCACTTTCGAAGGCAACTTCCACACAGTACAAAGGCTATAATAATACCTGACAGCCTATGTAAAATAATTTTAACTCCAAAATATGGCAACAAATAAGACCAAGGTTAAGATCTACTTATTAAATCCACAAAAATAATTAATAAGCCTTATAATAAAACCAATAATAAGCTGAAAGAAGAAACAACCTAGCACCTTAAGCCACACAAACATAAATGCAAAATAATGAGTGTAAACATTGCTTCTAGGCCAGAAATAATATTCTCATACTGCAGGTAACTATTTTTAATTGCTAATCTGAGCTTTGAATGATCCATTAAGGCAGGAGGAGCAGTGTCAGGCAAACTAAGCACGAGCTATAAGCTGCTTTCTCATTTTTGACAGATGAAGTTTCAGAAGACAGCAGTCACTAAAACACTTGTTAAACTGCACACGTGCTTTTTAAAAGAAAAACACATCCCATATTACAAAGCCAACCTTGAAGTTAGACTTCTAACTTTACAAGTGCAAGAACACTTCATTTCCATTCCCAAAAGCGAAGAGCAGGCCGTACCTAAAACTTTTCATGCTTTTCCCCACCAAGCCTGCATGAAATACCAATGATGGCATCGCCTCACAGATCTGAAGATGCGAGTGTACTGTATTTGTAGAACAGAGACTGCATACATCAGTAACAAGCACAGCACTACTGAACTAAACATCACTAGAATTTCTTTACTAACGCAGTGCAGCTTTCATTTTTTCATGTACTTCAGTTCAACAGCAAATAAAACACAACAAAAAATTTCTTGTCTAAAACCAACTTTGATGTACCCTGGCAGTTTACCTTTCATACTGAGAAGGAAAAAAGTTGCTCACAGAAGAGAAATACCGAAGAATGCATAGGAATTTTTCTTTTTTCGAGCTACTAATGTTTGATGGATGACATTTCACATCCCTAGAAACCCTGCTCTGCTGCAAAACAATGGAGCAGTTCCATCATCTCTGACTCCTCACTAATTTGATTAAGAATTTCTCACATTAGGCCTTTCAGTCACTTCAACAAACAAACCAACCCTATTTTGGTTGTCTAGAACCAGCAGATTCAGTGACTGCCCTACAACCACCACAGGCTCACGTTGTGCACCCTGACGTTCCTAGACATTTGTATGTACTCTCACTCTGAGTAAAAGTACTGCATTCTACTCATTACACTGTGCTACTGCCTGCACTGCGTTGGCATGAAAAACTTCAGAAAGAATCGTGAACACACCACTGAACACACTGTGTAAATATTAGCAGTAGGAGAAGATGTTTCTGGCCCAATTAGGATAATGCTCTAAGTACTTAGGATATAAACCGAGGCCTTACACTGTGATTCACGAAGTGGGACACGTTTCCATATCGAGCTGCATCTACTGTAAACTCATCTGAGTCATAGTCCAAATCAAACAAGTATGTATTTCCCTGGTTGTCATAGAATTGGCCTCGTCTCTCTGCTTCCTCACTTGTAATCACCTACAAAAATATAAAAACAAAGAGAAACCTGCATCATATTATTAACTATTACTAAATTAAAATAAAAGTTAAAATCACGAGTTAGAAGAATTTTGCTTAGGAAAAATACCACATTTGCTTTTTTTCAAGTTGAAATAGTATTCTGTATATAATGAAGAATACATGTAGAGAGCTAAATTAATTAATTAGTGACTGCAGCTTCTCTGGATGTAATTTGTCTATGGCTGATGCACAGCACTGTGACTCAGGAACAAACAAAAATATCATCACCCGCGTTAAATATTTGGATGTTGGTAAATGCTAACCAGAGGTGGAAATCCAGAGGATCCCCAAAGGAGCAGAAGAACTAGAGCAATGTTTGACAGAAGCCACAGCTTTAAAAACTTTGTCTGCAGCCCACTGTGTTAAAGGTATCCCATTGTGCACAATCAGCAAAGAAATCACAGTTTGGCAGCAGGACAGACATAAAAAGTAAGGGAGAAAAATATTTGATTTTTCTGACAGGCCACATCTTTGCTTTAAGCAACGCAGTTCTGCAATCACAGCAGCCTCCTGCATGCTCACAGGAATTAATTTAAAGGGTACAAACCTGACAAGCTGGGAGACTTGGGGCAGGAAGCATGGAGGTAATACAGTGAAGACCATAAGAATTTGTAGCAGGGACAGAATGAATTGTTTTGAGTCATCGTATCAGCAAAGCAGATACGCGGCAGAAAAGCAACAGACAGGATTGGAGAGGCTGCCAGGAGCAGCTGATGCAAAGGGCCCTGAAGCATAACAGAGGCTGAACCAGGTAACACAAAGCAATAAGAGGAACTCGAGCTCTGTATTTTACAGCACTAAATTCTGTTCTGAAATAGCATGAGAGAGGCTGTGCAGACAGAACAGAAATGGGACTGACAGACTGGGTGCAGAGTCTGGTAACAACTGTGCCTGGGGAACAGCAAGAACTACAATAAAGATATGGAAAGAATGAAGAATGCGACTGCCAAGAACGAAAAGGAGGATCCACTTTTAGAAATGCTGAAATTTTGAAATAATTATCAAAAGTACTTATTTACTGACACAAAAGATGTGTTCTCTTCTTATCCAGCCTCTGGAATGGAGGACGTTTTGGACAGTATGATTTTACTGCCAGCACAAATGTCTATTCAGTGTATTCTTCTACTCAAAAGTAGACTTATACAGCTGAAGTCAGGAAGTGATGAAACTGAGAGAAAGCTCATCAAGATTTTCTCCTGTTTTCTCCTTCAAAATAACCTGTATGAGATAAATACATACCTCTCCAACATATTCCATCACAAAACTGTTGGTCTTAATTTTCTGGAGGGTTTTCACTCCCCAGCCTCGGCCGTTGTTAGTTCTGAAGATGCAAAGAGAATATTGTGTGCCTTTCTGTACTATCCTATTAGGGCAGTCAGGACCACACCTGCAAAATGAATTGCATTCATAGATGGGCAAGCCAGGCTGGATTTTCAGCTTCTTTCGTTTATTGTAAGCCAAAATAAAACCAGCTTCCTTTGGACAGCACTTCTCAGCAGGGCAGTCTGAGCATTCACAGCCAGTTGTTATTCCATTTATTACATTTATCCCCGGAGCAGGCTTATACTCATTAATGTAATAGAAGTCTATAGGAGGACCTTCAAGATCCACAGTGTTTTCTACCAGAATCATTCCTTTATGATTCTTTTTCCTGTTGAGTTCTTCTTTCCATCTCTGCAGAGCTATTCTTTGTTTAGCCTTCTTTACAATGTAATCTGCAACTGCAGGTTTCAAAGCTTTAACACTGTTTCTCACTTTCAGTGCTTTGCCTTCTTTCATCCGAGATAAGTATTCATCCTTGTCACTAAGAAAGTTTTCAAGAAGTTTTGGGCATTTCAGATTTTTCTGAGGTTCCCAAGTATTTGAAGATTCTGGCCATCCTTTCCATTTCACAAGATAGTATTCTTTGCCCTTTAAACACAGAAACAGATAACAGATTTAGCCATGATTCAATTCACCAAAATACAACATCGTAGAGTGCTAGAGTACGGTACAGAAAGGTCTAGATGTCCACATAACAATTACAACTGGGAGAAAAGGAAAAAACAACTTTTCTGTTTGCAAGTTAATTTAGAGCACAATTTTGTGCACTTTACGTGTCAGCTCAAGGGGCACAGAAATACACAGCTGTGAAGATCTCGTCACAAACGGTTACGCAGGGGAATGCTAGTGTCTTAAAGCAGTTAAGTTATGCTATCTGGCTGTATGAAATTACAAGCATAGGAAGAATAGAGTTGTATCACACAAAAAAACCCAACAAATCCTAAACTTATCTAACACCTAACGCTGTTTGTCCTCTATCAACTGTGCTCCTAAAGAAGCAATCTGTTCAAAATGCTTAATGCTGTATTGACAGTCAAGAAGCACATGCTTGGTATTCATTTTAGAAGGGCCCACTGTAATAACTGTAAAAAGGTCAAATCCTGATGCTGAATTTCAATGGCAAGAGCAAACCGCAGGAATCCAGTTGCAGCACACAGCCCTAACTTTTCAAACAGACTACAACACTGCAGAGAAAAATATACACAGTTAGCTGCAAACAGAAGCATCATAATACATAACAAGTTACAACCTAAAAGCGTCAGCGTTTTGCTTTACTTCTAGATACAAGGCAAAACATTTTATGCTCCAAAATCTCCATAATTTCAGAACAGAAAGGCTTCCTCCAGCATGCTGAACATGCTCAGCTACGCCACTTTCTGTTTGCAAAGTTCAGAAGGTATTTTGTTCGGTGTCATCAACAGCCTCGTGCTGGCAGCCTGCTGCTTTACATCACGAGTACAGCCACCTCGGTCTGGCTTCCGAATTGCAGCTGAAATTGAGCAATCAGGTCGGTCTAAGTGTTTCTCTTACCTCTTCTACCTTGTAGTCACACAAATATTCCACCTCATAACTCTTTAGACTCTTGTTGGTGATTCCAATGGATTTACATCTCAGATTTTCCTTCCTACATAATTCTTGGAGGGTCTCATGTGAAGCTAGACATGGCACATACCAAGCTACAATAAGAAAACCGGTAAAGAATCCTCTTTAATGTCTCGGCTGAACGGAAACCATCCCGCACTGCTTCGCCTCACCCCGGAGTCCCCACGTTACCGCCCCGTGCGCAGCCACACGTCTCACTGCGCGCTGCTCTAAGGGGCAAAGCCAAACACAACGGCTCCCTCCCTGAGCCTTCCTCGGGCACGGATGTGCGCGTAGCGATACACACAAAAAAACAACGCTACCGGAGGGCAGACGCCGCAGCACCAGACTTCTGCAAATGGAAACCGCACGAGGAACGGGACGGGATAACTACCGTGTAATGGAAGCGCCCCGGAGGGCGAGCGGGCAGGGAAGGATCAGGCCTCGCCCCGGCCGCCCCTCGCGCGCCGCGTCTTCACCTCAGGCGCCCCCGCCCCCCCCCGGCCCGGCCCGGCCCAGGGAGCGCGCGAGGCCCCCGGCCGTCCCCCGGCGCGAAGCGGGCGGCGGTAACGGTCCCGCGGAGCTCGCTGGCGGTTCCGCGGCCTCCCCTCGCGCTCCCGCTCGGCCCGCCCAGCGCGAGGAGAAGGGAGGAGAGATCGGGGCGAGGCGCCGCCGGCGGCGCCGTCCACCATCCCGTGCCGCGGCCCGAACCGCCGCCGCCGCCGCGCCCTCACCTCCTCGCCAGCCCTCCATCTTGGAGGGGCCGCGCAGGGCCGCAGGCGGCGGGAGAGGGAGGAGGGGGGAGGGCGGTGCTGTGGTAACGGCCGCCTCCCGGCGCCCGCGCGGCTCTTCCTCACGGCGGGCTGGTCCCTCGTCGACTGTGAGCGCGGCGCACCTCGGCGCTCGGTCCTTGCCTTCCCGTTGAGTGAAAGCAGCAAGAAAAAAAAATCTTAAGTAAACGATACCGAAAGAGCGGTGGTAGCGCACATTTCAAGCGGCTAAAAGGCACTTTTACATTAAGCTCGCTGTTCTATCACGTGCCAGGTAGAACGATCCCCACGCGCCCGCTCTTTGTCCGTTTACGGCACCACTTCAGCAGCAGCACACGGGCAAGGGGACAAAAGCCCGCCAAAGGCAGCCAGGAGGCCCCGCTCCCACACTGCCCCGACACAGTGCAGAGTCGCAGAGAGATTTCAGACGCTTTAAACAAACAAAAGCGTTCCCTCGTCACAGTACGCTTCTCAGAAGAGCTGCTCGCGGCTCAAATAGCTTTCAATTCAATCCAAAACCCCATAAGCCCCACGGAGCTGTACTGTGAAGCATAGTAAAACTTACAGCCATTAGGCACGTTCGGCCACTAGCTGGTGCTCGTCAGCCTGGTAGAAAGCCCAAAGAAAGACGCGACCGTACTGGGATAGGGGACAGCACTGCCCGACAGAACCAGGCTTCGGGTTTTCCAAGATTTCTTCTAAAAGAAAAACATCTTTAAAAGATATACTGCCGTGTTATTCACTTAAAGTTAAAAGACCACAGAGGCAGGGATATGGGAGGCAGAACTCTGAGTACTTTGGCCACAAGCATTACAAATTCAAAGCCATGTTTAGTCTGGTAAACCAGAGAGCACACAGAGATTTGTTTAGAATGCAGAGATTTTTACCTGTATAAAATTGCTTTTGTAAGATAGAATATTAAAACATACAACCCACAAGCAGGTGGTGGAGGAGCATGAGACAAAAATCTGAAAACAATAATTGAATCCAAGTTGCTTCAAGTCCAAACTGGCATTTATTTTTATTATCTATTTATGCCTGTTTCTGAGCAACTACTTGGTCACTTTCACTATGGGGCTATAAGGGCTGAACTGCAGCCTCTCTAAGCGTTAGACTGAGACCCACAAAGCCTGTAACTATACTCACCCATCCCACCTTCTTGTTATTACTCCTCTACCCAAAGTTAAGAGTATCTAGTGATATCCAACTATCTAGTGATTTAGAGATGAGAACAGTGCCACAGCATAGAGGATGACAGCATCTGGATAAAATTTTTATTAATAAACACATAAATAAGCACATATAACCCTTATACACATTTTTCCAGGTAACATGACAAAACCACCTGAAAGTAACTCCAGAAAAATCCTGCTCAAAGGGCCAGCCCAAATGGGCACAACCTCCGTGGTTTCAGGCAACATCAAGCCCACACAAGTTTTCAGTATAATTCACACAATTACTTGAGAGTGGATTTTCACATATCTAGCTCTTGTTGGTTCAGTGCTATGTGGTATACAGGTATACTCTGAAAACGTATAGGACCCGATTAGTCTAAAATCATTTTGCCAGACTACATAACATGCTTGTTGCTGAGCCACACACCTGAGATATGCCCCTTTTTTTTTTTTTTAAAGGGTGTTGATAATTCAATGCTGTTGCCTACCCTCTAGCCTGACATTCCACATCATGTTTTCCAATGCAAACAGACTTGGCGACAAATCTTTTACTTTTTATTACAGTTCTCTGTGATCCATTAAACATGTTTCAGTCATCACTTCAGGGGACAAGCCAGCAAGAGAAAAAACTAACTCCGAAAGGTGCTGCCTTTCAAATGAGATTATGATGCCACTTCAACAGTGATGACTTCACACTTTCCAGTATCTTGATCTGTGCAGGTAACATGCAAGGATCCATCCCTAAAAGAAAAATTAGAGAGGACCATCTCAGCACAGCATTTAGTATGCAAGTCCCAGAGAAACAGCAGTCTTGTGCAAATGGAAGGAAACAAGATTAGCAGAGCATGCAGGGAAGAATACGCTTATTTAAACTTCATTCCAGTTTTCTTTACTGTGTTGAGTATTTAGATACATACTTCTTATTCTCCATTAAACCTTTTGCCTCCCCCCAAATATAACAGAATTGATTCAGGAACGCAGCTTATATATTTGTATTGCTGTTTAACTAACTTAGTGCAGATTTGGAAATGCAATATTCAAAGTAGCCATACTGAAAAACGAGTAATGGCAATCAACAGATAAGTGCATCTTCCTTAAAGGACGAGGACTGCTACAGAACAGTCTTCAAACAATCTCCTTCAAAGAAATAAGACTTCCTAGAAAAAAGTTTATATCAAATCCTGTTTAATCTAGGCATAAAACAGCCACACGCAAGATTCAGACAGAAATGTGTTCTTGTGAACTTTCACTGATGCGTTTCTTTGAATACTTAAATTATTTTAAGGTTTTAATATTTTAAACTTAAATTATTTTTAAGAGTTCTCCAATTCTAAGTAATGCCTAGAAAAATATTAACATTACTTACAAGAAATGGTAAGCTCTTAAAATAATTATTAAGTTTTTACCTCACAACTACGAATATGGATCCTAAGATATATCTCTTACCAACACAAACCTCATACTCACTGCAAGACTGAAGTATTTATGTCTATTCAAATAGAATTAAATATGCTTGATCGTTAATGTAAGAAAATGAATGTATTTTGTACTCAAATAGCAAGTAGGGATTTAGTTTCCCAGCAACACCTAAAGAACTTTCTTATTATTTAGAAAAGCAGCACTGATTTCAAGAGAACCCTCAGAAGACAAACATGCTCTCATTACTTGGAATTCCACCTTTGGATATCTTTATAAACTATTACAAGTATTTCACATCAGACCAAATACTCAACTTTTTAAGACATTTTTTAAGACACCCAAAAACGTGACTGCTCTCAGGTATAGTTACACCATTTGTTAGAAGTGTGATGAAGCAAGTTAAATGGCAGAACAATAAATATTTTGTGTACCTTTTCATAGTAAGAACAGTCAATAGATCATGTAGGCCATCTTCCTTTTTATCTAAATCCTGGAGCACAATCTAGAAGGAAAAACAGAGCTTAATAAAAAAAGTATAAGATCTTTCTTGCACAGCAATCTAAAGGAAAAACAATGCACACAGTAACTGAGGTATGCAATTTATTCTGTTTAACATGTGGTATTAATATTCAACATTAAAGCACGTCCCACTAAACTGCACACACCTGTAATAAAAGTCTCCCTTTTTAAAAAAAATTAACATCTGCACGACTGTTTCAGTGTTTTTATGTTTCAGAGCCCATCAGCAAGATAGCTGGAGAACTTATATCAACTCTATACTTACTGGAGAACTTCCTTCCTCTATCCTTCAAGACCCTGTGGCAGGACCAGGGTGGAAAGAAAAAAAAGTTACCCTAAAACTCTGTCAGTTTCAGCCACAAGTCTTTTTGATGCCGTAAAAGTACACTGAAGGAAAGCTAAGATCAGTGTTTGAAACAAGCCTCTCAAGAGGCTGACTTCCAAGTGTTATCTTTTCATTTTTCATGGTGTTAATATGATTACATTTTCACTTGACCTGAACCGGTTTTAATACCAACATCCTATCTAATCTAGGAAAGTCATAAAGGAGTTACAGTACAGATACCAGCTGTTGTGTTGAGGGACATTGTTTAGTGGGAGCTATTGGTAATAGGTGAACAGTTGGACTGGATGATCTTTTAGGTCTTTTCCAACCTTGGTGATTCTATGATTCTTCATTACCTCTATTTCTAAGTAGGTACAAGAGGGACTGATTATGGTGTCCCATCCCAGACAAGTTGCATGCACCACAGTAGTGCCACACCTTAAAACCAGACAGACTTTTATAAACTCAAGAGGGAAACCTGAATTTTTTTTTTTAAAGCACTCAGTAATTCACAATATGTTTATAGAAGAACATTCAAGTACAGTTTCCAGAGAAATGCATTTCATTTTAACTTTGTAACAAGTTACAGTAGAAGTGTCGCTGCTTTTGATTTAATTTTTTACCCTCCTAGAACCACGTGATTTCCAAGTAGGCTATACTGCAAGCAGACATGCACATGTATACACTCACTTGTGCAAATTTGTTTTCTTCATTCATAGGACTTTTCCCTAACGACTCATACAGTTCAAGGCATACAGAAGAAGTGTTTCCAGGAGCATGCAAGGTGTGCTGCCTTCGAGCTGGTAATGGTGTCCCTGATGGAAACAGCACTGTGAATTTGTCAGCCCCCGTCTCATCTACACCCTTTAAAAAGAAAGAAAAACAGTTCATGCCTTTCTAAGTATTTTAGTGAACCAGAAGCTTTGTAACAGTGCTCCAAGAGAAAAGAAATGCCAGATACATTCCCTCTGCTGTATTTACCATCACAATAATTCCATTAATAAGAAGTTTCTGGAAGTGAAAAAAATCCAGCAATTAAAAGGACACAGCAACTGTTAAGGAAATAGCAAGCTCACAATCCATCTTCTTGAGAGTCTAGAGGAACTGCTCTATCAATACCAATACACAAACTGGTCAGGTGTTAAGTGGTAATTTATTAAAACAATATTATTTCTTTAACATCAATGCATAAGCAGTACTTCACAATCACTGCAGCAGTAACATTTTCAAGTAGTTTTACCCTTACCTTAAGAAGAATATCCTTGGCAGAACACTCGATAAACAATGCTTCCTCTTCTAGAGAAGGGTTTTCTTTCCCTAGTAGGATTCCTGCCTCTATTGCTGCACCGATGGGAATAACTTCATCTGGAGGTATTGAGCTCAGTAGTTCCACATTTGGGAAGATGTCTTTGATCAGCTGCTGCAGTTTTGGGATTCGAGCAGATCCACCACACAAAACTACCTGGAAGATATGACAGTGTTTTCAAATCTCTTTTCAGAAAGGAATTAACAAACAACAACAACAACAGACAGGCAACAGCCTGCAATAGAGAACCATAAACTGCTCTGGGATCCTTTAGTATCCATAGCTGTTAA